TCAGCTGCTGCCCAAGTAGAAGTTCAGCGAAATGGATGGGGTTTGGCACAGCAGGTAAGACATTTAAATTCTCATCTACTCTTTTTCCCACAGCACTTCTGGTTGGTGGGATTGTCACGATCATAATTTTCAACAACTGCAAAATGTCACACCCCATAAAGCGCCCTGTTTTCTGACTGGACTCGCTCCCAATTATTTGATCCAGTACAGTCTCTGGTGTCCTGTTCCCATTTTACGTTTTCAAAATCACATTCTGACTTTTTAATTGTTCCTGTTGTTGATGCTGTTGTTGTGGCTCTTCTTTCTTGATATTATCGTTATTATCTTTGTTATGGTTACTGCTGTTGTTATTGCTGTTTTTATTGTCACGGATCCATTTAATTTTGTTCTGGCAGGATATATCTTTAGAAACAACAGCAGTATAAGTAGAGAAAGAAAAGTTCAAGTCAAAACTTTCCGTCTTTTTGTCTCCAGATCTCGGCTAACTATGAGTACATCGACCTGTGGTCTAGCCCGTACACCTGGGGAGCAGCTCCACCTCCCGTGGAGGGCGACTTTGTCGTGATTCCGAAAGGAATGAAGCTGCTTCTGGATAACAGCACAGAGGTTCTCAAGATGTTGCTCATCCAAGGTCAGAGCCAACGTACAGCGAAACCTTTCTCTGAGGGCTTAGAGGAGGCTGGGGTTACGTGTATCATTCTGTCCACAAAAATCTGTCAACTTTCTCAAATGGAGACCAACTGTGCCCTTTGTTTTAATGGCATACCCTCTTTTGGTTTTAACAGGAACACAAGCAGACATGAACCAAAATTCTAAAAGCGCATGTTTAAAACATAGCATGATGTGTACACACATGTGGCACATGACATCAAATATGATCAAATGGAAATTGAAAGACAGTTTGTTCAGACAAGAGTTGGCATGAAGCTTTTGTATCTCTTTCGTTGACAGTATTGTGGGCAAAATCTTTAAACAGTACCTTTTTGAAGTATGCGCCCTTACTTTCATTTTGGGTTCGCAGTTGGTGTAGTTAGGGCAGACGCTGCGAAGCGGAAACTATTCCTTTCACTAATCAAAATTATTGTTTAGTTTGGAAAAGCAGGATAAATGTTTAGAAAAACACAAATGTTGTGGAATATTTCTAACGAATAATGATTATGTAACAATGTCCAAACCTCTACACATTATTGCTGACCACTGTACAAAATTGAACTTTCTCTCAACTATAAAGAGTGTTGCAAGTACAGTTTGTAAGCCGTCTGGCCTGAACAACATGAAATACTGAGATATGGACTTGAATTTCCTGTGATTACTGACAAAATTGCTATGTTGCAGGAGGTGAACTCATCTTTGACGAGGCTGATATAGAGCTGCAAGCAGAGAACATTCTCATCACTGACGGAGGTCTCCTACAGGTAACTGGTTTAATATTAAGCAGGCATGTCACTATGGCAACAAAGTTTCGTATCCACTTATGTCTTCCTTTAAACAAACTCTGGCTTACCCTCATCTCCATATGGAAGAATCTTGAGTAATTGGTCAGCCAATATTGTTTGTCAAAAACCATATATTGCTTTTTTATCAACAGCGGCAAATCTTTTATAGGAAAATAGATCCACGTTCAGACGTTAACAAAAAAAAAATATTGAGAGACTCACTTATTTGCCGCTAAAGCTAAAGAGGTTGTATTCAAACCTGCAAATACAGTAATCTATGATTTGTGGTACCATTAAATTCTTATGTTGGTGCATTCAGCAAAGATTTGGGTTATAAGCTTATTAGATACTATTCGTTAGATATTCAGTCAGTATAAACAAGTATGTTTTTAATTACATATTTAGCCAAACGTTTTGATAATATTTTGGGGGGGATTTTTATCATTACAGGCTGGAACTGCAGCCAGACCTTTTCCCAGCGCTTACAAAGCCATCATCACCATGCACGGCCACCTGCGATCTAAGGAACTCCCTATCTATGGAACGAAGACACTTGCTGTGAGAGAAGGAACCCTTGATCTTTATGGTAGGTAGTACTATCATGTTGTGCCCTAGAGGCATCCATTATTTGGTGTTCTTTCACGGTGCAGGATAAACCATACTATAAAATCCTAACATTTTACAGGTGTAAAACAGAGAATAATTCAACAAGTTAATTTACTCAGATATAACTGGGCATCACGTTAACATGAAACGATGAAGGCTTAAAGCGGAAATGTTCATAACTCATTTGCCACAGTATTCAATGTTTTCTTACACTTTTTTTTGCTCTGCGTTAACTCGTTCCGAACTATTCCTAATAGACAGGCTAGAGTTTTTAAACGTAGATTGATTGTCTCAAAAGTATATCTTGAAAAAATAACGACTGCTTTATCACTGCTTTGTTTCTAGACTCAAAATCGCGTATCGAAACAGTTAAGGCAGTCAGCTCCCTCTATGTTCATAGATTTGAATTTCCATTGTGGAAGAATTACGGCAGTCCTTTCTCCTGTATGTTCCTCCAGGCACTCCTGTGGCGTACACCTGGACAAGACTGGCTGCCACAGCCGCTGCCGGCGCCACGACAATCACTCTGGAGCAGGAGGTGGACTGGCAGGCCGGAGATGAGATCGTCATTGCCACCACTGGTCATAGGCACAGCCAGAAAGAAAGTGAGGTGAGGAGAAGATAACATTCGCTGAGTTGACTGTTTATCTCCTGAAGTTGTAAGATGGAAACGAAAACCTTTTTTCCGGGGGGGGGAGGGGGGAGCACGATTTCTACAAATTTTCCATATGAGTTGGCAGATGAGACTATACGTCTGAGAGAATAAGTAGAAGGTAGAAACTGTTTCAAACACTGGATTTTACTCACCTATGTTACACTACTTTACGGACTTGTTACATTGGGACACGCTTGCATTGATGAAGTATGTATTTATTCATCTTTTTTACATTGTTCACACTTAATGTTTTGATGCATTGCTCTTGTCTTTTCAGGTTAGAACTATTCACTCTGTGAGTGGATACGACGTCATTTTGACGGAGGCTCTCGAATATGAGCATCTCGGAATTGACGGAACATTTGGCTCCCACACCGTGCAGTTCCGAGCCGAGGTGGGGCATTTCACTCGCAATGTCATGGTCAGGGGATATCGCAACACCGAATTCGACACACAGATTGAAGCTTGCCCAGCTGGTTTCAACACAGGTAAGCTCATCAGTATCAATTCTTTAGAATTTCCTTACTGTTATTAAGATTAGTAGTTAGGTTACCCGACACGTAATCGTCAGATTGCAGTGCCAGGGGTCTCGAGGCTTATTTCGGCCCCGACGTTGTGTCTTCTTTTGGGAAGTAATTTTATGCGACATTTCCCGTTTGGCTCTGTTCTCTCGGAGATAGACGTTACAATTGGAGGTTCTTCCTCTTAAACAACCTTAGTGTTGAAAAAGCGCGCTTAACCTCTACAATCTCGCGAGTTTTCATTGGTGGTGGTGTGAAAGACCAATCATCGTGGCACATTTCAATAAAGGTACATGAAAGTGTCTTTGGATCGTGATTTGCTTCTGGGAGGTCTCTAATTCATTTACCAAAGTGTAGTCCTTATTGTGTTTGGAAAAATTCTGATTTCGTCTTCTTATGTAACCACTTGTAATACACTGTATTTTGTTATAGAATTTTCAACTGTATTTGAAATGTTTTTAAAGCCAGCACGAAAAGTGATTAGACAGATAGGTTGATCATTTTGGCATGTAGCAAATTGATTTCCTTAACACAAAGAATACTCTATCTTTGAAGTCTTCTCCATGGAATTGTACCAAAGTTTTTTGAAGAGTGCCACTAACTGCGTAACATAGGTACGTGGAGGGCACGCCTGGTTTATAAATGTTTTTGTTTATTGTTGGTGTCAGAATACTGTTACAGTTCATTAAATCTTCTCATGTTGTTTCTTGAAATTCTAAACTTGAGTTAGGTCCTCTAAATTGACCTTCCTTTCGTTGTTGTATTACTGTTGTCTTATACCAAGTTATGCAATGCTTTGTTTTCTTTGTTAGAAACTTTTAGAAACTGAAAATAACCAAAACAGTCACTGGTTATAGTAATGAAAATGTTTCAAATTTACATAAAACTTGTACGATTTTTGCATTATGTATCAAGGTGAATTCGCCACTCAGACTTGCTTCCAAGGACGTTTCGGAGAGGAGTTGGGATCTGACCAGTTTGGGGCACAGATAATGGTCCACCAAGTTGAAAAGGACACTCAAGTAAGTACCTATAGGTCCTGCCGTGTTTTGAAATACTGATTATTCTTTTTTTTTATTAGAAAAAGAAAATAAAGTCGCGACAGTTATTCTGTAAACGACACGGGGAAGCATCTCCAACTCACCTGTGAGAAAAGATATCCTAACAAGTTTATTTCAAGATGCCAAACGGAAATGTGAAATGAGCAGCAATAAAGTCATTGATAGGTTAAAAATCCGTCCTTTTAATTTTGGAAACACCAGACAATCCACTTTGCTGATTTCATCAACTAGTACCATGACGACATTGTGCAGTGGCATGCAAAAAGAGCAACAGAAAACAAAACCACTTAAACGAAACTTCTGTTTTATTTTTAGGATGAAATTGACATGCGAAACAATTAGCGTAAATAATAATAACAGTTCGTTTGTAAGTTAAAGTGATTTTGGGAAAACTGATTTTAGGCATACATTCTAATGGCCCAAGAAACCCTGCAATTATTATTATTATTATTATTTGATCAAATAAGTTCCTGCTGTTGATAAGATCTATAATTTCTTAGTGAATTTTAATCAATTTTCAATTTATTTTTTTTTTATATGAATATATCTCTCATCAAATGCTATTTCTTGGTTTCTTATTTAATAGCTTTACTTCATAATATTTTATTTCTCGTATATTCTTTTACCGTGTTGATTCTTTTTGGGATGTTTTGTTTCATTAAATGTAAATGCTTACCTTAAGCCAACATCTTATCGGGCTTTACCTGTCTGTGATTGCAGATTGCTCAAGCCCATCTCTCGTACGTTGAGCTGAGGCACTCGGGCCAGGCTTTCCGTATGGGTCGCTACCCAATCCATTTCCACTTGAATGGAATCATGGACCAATCATTTGTCAGGGGATGCTCCATCCACACCAGTTTCAACAGAGCTGTTAACGTCCATGGATCTCACAACATTCTCGTAAGTCACGATTGGAACTCTTAACGAGTTTTGATATTTCTAAATTTCATATTGTTTGAGCTGCTTGCATGTCTTGCTCCCACCCCAACCTTTACAAAAAATGTTTAAAAAATAAAAGTCGAGCGAAATAAGGGGATAACCATGATTATTCCTCAAACTCAAATTCAAAATTGTATTGGTAGGTGTTTTAGCCACAGTCGCGCATTTAGCAGTCTGTTGCTCCCTGGTGAAAAGGACAAATAAAAGATCCCATCGAAATGTCTTTATCAACAAGCTATCCCGTTCTAGTATTATTTATGTTTATTATGTTTTGTTGTTGGCTTGGTGCTTTGTTTTTATTTTGTTTTTGTTTTGTTTTGTTTGGGATCACTTTGTTTTGTTTTATAACTTGCTTTTTCTTTTTGGGGGGCAATTGCAGATTGAGCACAACGTGATCTACAATGTGATGGGAGGTTCCTTCTTCTTAGAAGACGGGGATGAGATTGGCAACATTTTCCAGTACAATCTGGCTGTGTTTGTGCGGTCCTCAACCTCTCTGAGAAACGATGACATCACTCCAGCCGCGTTCTGGGCAACTAACCCTAACAACACGTTCAGGTATGAACTAAAGAAAAGTACTGGGTAAAAGAAAATCCTTGTAGTTGGAAGGTAAGCTGAGGGATGGGGGGGGGGGGGCGCACTAGTCTCCTGAAATTACACAAAATCAAACTGAGCAAGCACACGTGCCCTTCTTAGAAATAAATTTACCCAAAAGTGGTCTTAACCAACATTTCCAGCGGGTGGTCCATAATTCTGATTTTAATCAGCAAAGAACATAATTTTCTTTTCACTTCACCTACGTAGATCCGAGGGGTATCGAGTTTAACCATTACTATTACTTTAAATACCTCCTTGGTGTACGACAGATATGTAAATCTAAAAACAAATGTGTCAAGTTTAAAGTAAGGAGCAGCTAAACAACGCATTTTGGCCCATAGACAAATTGAAGTGAGAGAGAGAGAGAGAGAGAGAGAGAGAGAGAGAGAGAGAGAGAGAGAGAGAGAGAGAGAGAGAGAGAGAGAAGGGGGAGAGAGAAATGAGGTAGGGGTATATTTATAGAGCCATTTCCTGCAAAGAGATACAATAATGTACAGCTAAGCCGACGTTCAAAGGATGAACATGTGAACTTTGACAGAGTAAGTAGTAGTGGAAGGAAAGACAGAAGATGGGGACACAGGGCCAAAACAATTTACTTATATCAATGTTCTCGATATTTATAATGAAATTCGCGTATTTTTTCATTCAATTTGCATCTTACGAAGCTGTAGTTATACTTTGTTTTGAGAAAATGTAATTTTCCTCTCTATTCACCCAGGCACAATGCTGCAGCCGGAGGCACCCATTTTGGCACCTGGTACCGAATGCACACAAATCCTGAAGGCCCAGGGTTTGATCCCAATATATGCCCACAAGCGTATCCTCTCGGAGAGTACAGTAACAACACAGCCCACTCACTTGGCTGGTTTGGTCTGTGGATTTTTGAGACTTACATTCCTCGCGTGGACGCCAGTTGCTCCTCCTCGGCCGATCACCTGGTAATATAACCCTTCATTGGTGCCATTTCCATTATTCCGAAGTTGTTTTTTCTGGGGATGAACATGGAAACATACTTAAAGATTAAGCACTTAATATTAATCCATGTATTACTAACACGGTGGCGGAGCGGTTAGTGCGCTCGTCTCCGAGACGGAAAATTCGAGTTCGAGCCTCGGTTCGGAAATATATTTTTTGCCCCCCCCCCCCTGCCCACCCAGCAGTAATGGGTACCTGACTTCGAGCTGGGGAAGTAAAGGCCGAGTGGAAAGGAACTGGCCACCCTACCACAATATAACGAAGGCAAAGGAAGTTGTCTCACAAACAAGGCAATCCCCAATGTCCGGATCGGATACGAGAACAACTTTACTTATTACAAATAAACAGTGTTCCGTCGGCAAAACCAAGTAGAGACAGGCCAAGTCTTGCTGGCGTATTTATAATCAAGTTATAGCAACAACGACGATGATGATAATGGTGGTAACTGTGATATATTAATCTGTTGAATAAGCACGTGGGCAAATATATATTTCACTTGCTGTCTTTATATCTATTAAAATTGAACTATTCAAAGAAATGGGAGGGTTGGAAGAACTTTGGGGTCTTGCAACAGAGCTTAAAATTAAATGAGATCCCTTAGTTTTCTACAATAGTCTGTGTACTTTATTTCTACTCAGGTGGCAAAGTTCTACTCCCTCACCGCTTGGAACTGTGAAAAGGGGGCGGAAGGTGTGAACTCTGGGGCCTTGCAGTTCCGGAACTTTGTGCTAGTCAACAACGAAAAGGCTGGCTATGAAGGAAAACTGTTGGTGGGCAACCCGCCACAGTACGACGAGAACAATGGCCCCGGCGTTTTTGACAGCGTCATCGTTGCTCATTACGATAACAACCTCAAAGGCGGCGCCACTGCCAGAGGAGTGGTCATACCCTACCAGCCTGGCTTCCTGCTGAAGAACATCGAGTTTTACAACTTTGATCAGGTGAGGGTTTGCAGTTCGAGACTCAGCTCGGCCAGACGCTGTGTCCTTGGGAAAAGCAGTTAACATGAACTTTCCCCATTTTAGTTTTAGTAGAGGTTTTACGGCGCTTGCAACTGCATAAGGTCATATGAGCGCCAGAAGATTAGAGGTGTTACAAAAGAGATATAAACATATAAAAAGAAGGGAAGATAAGGAGGACAGATATTTAATAGGAAAGAAGGAGCAAACCACACCAGAGCACCCGCCAACCTCCTGCGACAGATCCTGTCGAAGATGGATGTTAAATTCGGAGGTTTCGTCTCTTATAGTTGACAGGGTCATTCAACCTTGGCGATTCTTTATTATGTGTTTCTTACTGTACACGATTTGTTTTGTAGGAGCTTGTTCTGATACTGAATGGAGCTAATTCCCTAGGAATTCACATTGCCATTCAATAAGAATTCTACTTTAACGTTGGGGGTAAATAAAATGCTTTACATCTGTTTCGTATTGTTAACATGACCTGTACGTATAAGTCTGGGTAACAGCAAGGAAATGCCAAATGGGGCAATACGAAACTCATAATTCTTCCTTTTATTTAGGAAGGGGTAAACTAAGGTTTTGTGTAACTGGTGTTGCTTGAGTTAGTACAAGTTTATAAATTCCACAGCCAACTCAATCCCTATGCTTTCTTATTTTGTTCCTCAGCCGAGTCTAGCAACAATTGGATGGGCCAGAATCGATGGAACTTGTGGATTTTTGTGTGGTGGTTTCACTACTGAGACAGCTGAGCTTCAGTTTATTAACTCGCCCTACAAGGTAAGCAGTTTCTAGTGACAAGGTTGGAATCTATTCCACAGGATGAAATAGGAATATTCATGCCATGAGATCACTGGAAATGGTCAACCGGATATAGACCCTAGACCCTTGCTTTCAATGGATCCGTTGTCTGGTAATAGTGTCGTAGCCTACAATGGAATAGTATTGAATGAAAGCAGGCCTTACATATATCTATGTTACTTAGATTTGAAATAGGTTAATCAATACCTACTAATGAGCTTAAGTTGCTTCCTGGAAGGGCATTTCACAAATTCAAAATCATCATCCCCCCCCCCCCTCTTCTCATGAAGGGATGAAACAAGTTACAGACTTTTACAAGGCTCGATCGAAAGATTGTCGGTCAAATCCACTGGTGTCCACGTTGGTTTAAGCCTCCCTGTAACACTTCCTCAATTTCCGTTTTCCCGTCCTGGAATCAGAGTAGCCCTCCTACAAAATAGTATGTACTACTCCTAATAAGTAGTTGAACATCAATCAAGATTATAATCGTCTTATTCTGGCAGGTCTTCTTTGAATGGGAATCAGAAGGCGTATTGCATGATCGCGATGGTACTCTAGCAGGGTCACCTGACTACAGCGTTGCAGCGTGGACAGATTCGTTTGACAACACACTGTGTACCCTGGACAGGGAAATGTCTGTTGGTATCCCAGGCTGCATCTGTACAGACCAAATCAAGCTGATCAGGTTACTGGTTTTTCTTTAACTGTGTACTATTAGGTTGGGTTAATTGAGGGAGGACGTGTACTGTCGCACGTAGAAGACTTGAGTTTGATTCTCAAGTAGGACTGTTTTTTCACCAATTGTCTCCATCTATCATCCGAGACGTTTTGTCCTTCTCAGTCTAAATTGACCCTGGTAGGCAGGTTGAAACATCCCGCCTTCTAAACACCCGAAAATGACAATGTAGAGCGTTCTTGTGCGTATTAACACGCAGGAACAGCAGGACCAAGAAGATCAGATGTTAAAACAATTGTCATGCTCAGTAATAACTGTCCTGTTTACACTGTCAGGCAATGGTGACTTGGCTACGTGAATCATCTTTAGTCAAGTATACACATTAGCCTGTTTGAGTCCTGAAAGTCACTCTGAGTTCTTATACGTTAGTATGAATTACTTGTTAAAACGTTAAACAATTTTGCTGTTCCCATTCTCTGGCTAAATTGCCTTTCATATCCAAGTCTTTTCTCTTTCTGTATCTATAGGTTTGCATTTAACAACATTGTGCCAGAGTCATTGATGGCGAAGGATGCCGTTTTCACTTCGGAGTTCGGTACCAGTAACTCTCGATTCGCTGATAAAAGAATTACTCACCCAGACGGCTGGTCCATGGTGCTCATGGTGAACACCTACTACAACTTTTCCTTTGAAAACGCGGAACACGTGACGAATATAAGCTACGACTCTGCATTTTATCGTTTTGATGTAAGTCTTAGTAAAGATTACCCCCCC